GTAAGTTCGCTCAGCCAATTTAACTACGAGTATCTAACAGCTTCCGTGAACTTCTGAAACTCAGCTTTAATCGAATAAGAGGCTAAGTGAGATATGTTGTCTTAAATTGAGGGACGTCTAAAGAAACTCTCGTTAAAAAAGGCTATAAAAACGCAAATTCTCGTTCGCTGAGATATAAAGATATTACCCCCTATATTTGTTTCATTCACACTCATTATATAGTCAAAATTGTGACAACTGGGCCAAATGGCTTTTTTAGGTGAAGTTGTGTTCTGTTATGGCGCTCAAAAGTGAAGGTTATCAGTGTACATGGCTCTATGTATCGAAGGTATGGGGCCATCTAAGTTTCTAGCAAGGAAAAGGAGGTGGTCGAAGTGGCCTTTTGAAACGAGATGTGCATTGTCTTGTGCTTGGAAGCTGATTCCAAATCTACCTCTGTTATCTGCTGCGGGCTTTTGGGCGAGGAACTATAAAGGTTTTTCAATCAAAATTAAATGGAAGACTGGAAATCAGTCGTAACTTCTTCTCAACGTTCAAATAAGGCAGCATCGGGTTGGTGTATTTGAACCAAGAATATCTGTTGCATCGAGTGATCCGGCTATCAGTTAAGCCTTAGAAGAAAGCATGCGACTAATTTTACACTAATCTTGCAATTAACTTACTAGCTGCGGTCCCCGGTGCCGCCCGGGCTGAGGGTTCAAAGTAGCCCGGCATAGGGTTTGTTCCCTATTATTCTTATGGCTTACCATTCCTCCTTCCTCCATTTCCTTCAGTTTATATCTTCTCTTCTTTTACCGCTTCAGCTCCGAGTTAACTGCATCGCTTCTGTGATATCTTCGGTAAAACTGCCTTTCTTTTGACCGCCTCGCTTCATGACACCGCATCCTCCTCACCGCAAAGTGTAGATGATCACTGCCGTCCCTTACTACTTAACTTGGAGAAATGATTGATATGCTTTCATTTTCTCATCTTATCTATAAAGCTGAATGTGTGTCTATATGTATGTATGCACGTATGTGCGGAATAGAAATTTTTATTTCTGAACCGATTTGGACCAAACTTGCACACATACACTTCGGGGCAGGGGGCGTGTCATAGGCTACTTTTCGCTATCGATCGATATCGATTTTATCGATTTTTTGCAAAATTTGAGCTACGGGGCTGGGAGTTGGCACAGGGGGGTAATCGAGCATGCTGATTACAAATACGTTATTGACAGGGCCGGGCGGAGCCGGGTTTGCCAACTGGTATGTAAGTAAAACAAATCAATAAATCGATAGAGTGACCTAGCGAAAAGTCGAGAAAAGCAGCCTATCTTTTGCGCCGCGTCTCATTTATAGGGCAACAAATTTCGGCCTCTTTGGTTCACACGCATAGGAGTCTACAAGCCGCAAACATCCTAATAAACAAAGGTACAGTGTTTGAGTTATACAGGGTGTCCCAAAAGTATGTATACATTGTTTGATCGTTGGTATTTTTTTTTCCAAGAAGTCTTTTGCTTACCTTTATCACCATTTTATAGACAGTCGAAATCTGGCAGAGCCGCGGAGGACCCAATTGACCAATGAAAGAGGGGCGAGAGGGCGGTCCCTTCTTGTAGGTCACGGTGACGTCACAAGCAGGCGGGGGGGCCCTTCTCCGGGACGCGCAAATCTCTGCTCCGGAGGTACGCCAGATTTGGGAGAGCCCCGGAGCAGAGATTTGCCCGCCGCGAGTGCGCCAGATTTGGGACTCCTCCGGAGCAGAAAATGGGAGGTCTCTGGAGCACAATAGGTACGCTGCCAATTTGCTGTGATACGCAGCTTAGCATTTTCGAGAATAGCTGCTCTCGTTTTAGACTTTTTGTTGTTTTTCCGCGTTTCTTTACCGGTGAAGAGACATTAGAGAAAATTGGGCGCTTTTGGGCGCTTTTAAGCGAAGTCTGGCCAGGGCCCGAGTTTCAGTCGCAATTGCGTACTGTTACAGGCTGGTCATGGATATGGGATGTTAGGCTTGTATGAAGTCATCAAGTACGCTGTGAATTAATCGCGTTTAGAAATTGCTATTTATGGACATAATCTTCAAAGATCTAGGTGGGTATGTGTGACACCCGTCCTCAATGAGAACTCATCTTGGACATGTTTTGAATTTAGGAGATTTCGTTTAGGTACTGTTTGTTTTAGAGTTCCAGTCCTATTTCTGAGGGGTTCGACATGATCTGCTATAGCGCTATTCGCAGCTCTAAAGTCAATAACAGCGTCTTCGATGAAATGAAACCTGAGTACATTTTGATGTGGTCATCGTTAAGGAAGTAAGTATTGATAGTTTTGAAGTTGCATCCTATTGCCAATCTTTATGGAGATCAACCTGAATCGCTTCATTTATCTGTTTATTATGTACTCTTGACAGATAAATGAAGCGATTTATTATAGGTTGATCTCCATAAAGATTAGCAATAAGCTGAAGATCACACGATGATTAGTCAGTATCTCATTTCCTAAACGGTAGACGTTTGCTTTCGCTGTTTTCTCTAGCAGTACACTCAGGGCGAGTGGGGTGGCTTTCAGTAGCATCATCATTGCTTTTCTTCGCTGTTGTGATGTCTGTCTCATATTACATCATGTACCTCCTTTCTCAACCGAGACCTATTCTGTGCGAGTTTCCTCATTGTTTTGCGCTGCAATGCAGATATCAGCACTCAAAGGTTTTGTGACAAAAGGTTTTGCGCTGTGTTTTTCCAAACAATCTAACTCACTACACTTACTTCGCTTATGTTTTCGCTTAGGGTACGGCCATAGGTTGCCGGCAACTGTTGTCGGTGTTGTCCGTTTTGTAGCTGCTAAGTTTTGTTTTGCAATTTGCAGAAGATTGTTTGCAGTTAGTTTGAAATAAATGTCTTGTTTTTTCATTCCTCTATCTTCTATCCACAAACGCAAGGGGTGGGAGGGAGGGGGTAAAGACGGGGTTGAGGGTCGCGCTGAAGTCCCACCCGGGGGGGGGGGGGTTTCATATTCGGCTAATTTGGGTGGGGTTTAGAGACAAAATTGGGGTTTGGAGCTTAATTAGGGCTAGTTACAGTATGCCGCGGCAGCCTTCTGCAACAAAAATGGGAGGACTCTGGAGCACAAATGGGAGGGCTCCGGAGCACAAAATGGCAGGGCTTCGGAGCACGAGTGGCAATCCTCAGCTGGGGAAACCCCGCGGCTCGGCCATTTCTGCTCCGGAGGTATGCCGTCGACCTGAGAAGGACTCTTTTTCGCCTCAGGAAGCAAGCCGAACAGTCAGAGAACTTTCAACTAAGGCCAACCAAATATGATGTTCGCAATTTACCGCAATGCTTCCTTCATAAGTTGTGCCACGTAGACCGCAATAGCTGTTTTTACAACATTCCATAAGATCGTAATTACACCATTTTAAAAGCTTTGCAAACTCGTAAAAAGTTGAATAACAAAACCAGCGAGCTTGAAAACCCTAGTACACCACTTCTCAAATTTTTTGGAAAGTTTTTTAAACACGGTAAATCCGCAATAAGTTGAAAGTTCCCACCGTAATCTTACAGTAGTGAAGAGCGATCCGTGATTCGCTTACTGTATATCTAGGTTGAAGCCACTCTATAAAATGGTGTTCAAAGGTAAGCAAAAGACTTTATGGGAAAAGAAATATTAACGATCAAACAGTGTATACATATTAGGTTGGTCCGAAAGTTCTGTCCCACCATTTTCAAAAAATCGTAACTTCTTCCTAACACAATGTTTTTGCAAGAGTAAAACCATATTAGAAAGAGCAATTCATGTACTTTCTAAAATTGAGTTGGCTGCTATTCATTAAGCTCTGAATGCAGAGATAAAATTGGGGAGAGAATTCATTTCAATTTCGGAATTTTTGAGCAAGCCCGTTAAAAAATCCAAAAGTGTGCCATAAAATCCAAAACAGTCAGTATTTTGGGTTTTTTGATCCCCTCTTTCCGCTTAGCAAAATTTGCGCTGATCGAGTTTTTTTGAAAGAAGTTATGATTTTCAAGAAAAAATGCCAAAAAATCAGTTTCTTAAGAAAATTGATTTTTTGACATTTTTTTCAAAAAATCATAACTTTCCGAAGAACAGCTCGATCATGGCGAACTTTGCTCAGCAGAAAGAGGGGGTGAAATAATCTAGGATAGTGGCTGCTGTTTTGGATTTTATGGCATTGTTTTGGATTTTTTAACGGGTTTGCTTAAAAATTCCAAAATTGAAATGAATTCCTTTCCCCTATTTTATCTCTGCATTCAGAGCTTAGTGAATAGCCAACTCAGTTTTAGAAAGTACATGAATTGCTCTTTCTAAAATGGTTTTATTCTTGCAAAAACATTGCGTTAGGAAGAAGTTACGATTTTTTGAAAATGGTGGGAAAGAACTTTCGGACCAACCTAATACTTTTGGGACACCCTGTATGTATACATAGATTACTCACAAAGACCTTCCTAACTCCTCTCTCTACCTTTTTGAATCCTCCCCCTAAGTTCACAAAAACCTTCTCAACACCTCCCTCCACCTATCTAATTGCACTACTGCAAAACTCAGCTTTGTAAGGGCTGTTTTATTGCTACAAAACTACAGCACACAAGAGAACCTTGCATAAAGCTGCTGATGTATATGGCTCAAGATTTTGTTTGCGTTATCAATAATATGTATTCTTGTGAGCGAATGCGTAGCCGAGTCATGGTAACATCAAACACCGCTTCTGATGACAAAAGCAGAAGTCAGGTGAAGTACCAGCAAATACTCATAATTGCTGCACTTGCTAGCTAGAGGTGCGAAGAGAAGAACGCTCACGCAATAGTGTTCCAATTTTCAGAAAGGCAATGTGGATTTCTGCCTTGGAGATTGTATAGCGAAACTTTGTGTAAGTTTTTGCCGATTTATGCCATTCATACAGATCAGACGTGATTTTAGACGACAGGGGTCTGCTTGACCGAATGCTCTCCAAATTTGCTACCTCTAGAAACCGTCAATAGACTTCAGCTGATAAGACAAAACTCAACAATGGCTGTTGTCTTCTCTCCTGTCCGTGGAGCCGATCTTTACGTTATCCAGTACAAGTTCTCATACGAAGTTAAATTTGAACCTAACCGTTATGAGGTAAAATCGAAAAATTTAATTTTTTCAAATACAATTTTTTATAGATTTCAACTCAGCCTGAAATTAAAGACTATATGATATCAAAGATGGCATCCTGTTATTCGTCCGTAGATGTGCGGTTAGTGCTGTAATTGTTATTTTTGATAGTTGCATATTCCCTTTTCGAGTATTCATTTTTAGTGTGGCAGCCGTGTCTTCATTTAGTACTGGTCCGTTTTCCAGCTTGCTCTCAATAAAGCCGCCATTGCTTTCAATAAGTTCACACCTCGAATTATTGAGCATGGTTTATGTAAGCTCTTGGTAGTCCTCCAACAACTGATTTTTTTATACGAGATTCAGAGCGGTATCCCGGGTTGGCTTGGCGGGTCCATTGAGCTCACTCTAAAATATATTGTTGGGGGTATTTTGAATTATCGCCATTTTCGGCAGGACACTACCTTATCAAGGTTTAGAGTGGCCATTTGGGCTTGAGGATCTAGATGTGACTCCAATAATGTTTGGTGCCTTTTGCGAGAAAGCGCCTATCGGCGAAGTTCCTTTGCCAAAATTTGTAAGTCAAAAATCTTTTCATTATTTTGAGTTGTTTCTGTAGATGCAAGGTTCTCGCCCGAATACTGTAGTAGCTCGGCTAGACGCTGACGCCATGTATCGTCGATGTCATTATCACTACAGAGTGGCAAATGTTACTAGTCAACGGTGTCAAACTACTTCATTTCCGTGGACTAATGAAAGACGATCGTTAGTGATAAGTGAGTTTCTAACATCATTGTCGTCTCCTTTTTACTAGTGATAATTTGCATATTAGATCTCGAGAGCTAAGAATAGGATCACTTTTACATCTTGTTTGAAACAGTGTTAATGTTGTTAGTGTTTTAACAAAGAAAAATCAAGGCGCTGAATAAGAGGCTAGAGGCGAGTGACAGCATGGAGCGAGCGACTGAAATTATTGGTGAAATACCGCAGACACCATTCACCTTTGTATAAAACAATCTTCATTATGTTGCTAACGGCAACTGGCACCACAGCTTACCATTTTTAGTGTGGAGGCAAAAGAGCCTCTTCAAAACTTGTATACTCTGACACCAGCATATTATGAGGAAAAAGTGTGAAACCAGTGTCAGTCAGCTTCAAACTTAGCTACGAACAAGTCTTTCATGTACGACAAACTGAGCTGCGATGTAAGGGAGCGCTTTAATGAAGAGAGCTTCCGCAATCTTCATGAATGCTTGTCTTATGTATAGATGCTGCATGACGAAAGCGTAATATCTTTGGGCGCAACGCGGCTTTATTAGCGCAGAGCGCATGAGGCGCAAGATTATGGGACGTATTCGAGACGCACAACATTCACTTTCAAAAATTTATCACTCGGTCGTCGGTTTAGCCGTGAAGCGCGGCAGACATTACGGTTTTAGCAAACGCGCTTGCGTTGTTTGTCGTATGAAGCTGATTCAGAAAGTATATGTCCCTTGCCAAAAGGCCGAGCTAAGTTAAGTAGCTTTCTATAAAGTGCTATTATAGTTTTCGTTCTCATATTAAATCCTTTTTTATTCAATAGGTTGTGATACCGTGACGAATAGTTCCTGCGCAGAAAAAACATCCACATCTCCCATCTGTGGACAGATCAACAATATCCATTATGAGGTAATACAGCACTGTGTGTAGCGTATATTGTCGTTTGCTAATCTCATTAAGGTAACAGACAAAATGTCAGTGTCAGATGAGCCTAATAAGGAAATTCTTTCGCTGAAAGTTACATTCGATCCGATCATGAGAGAGGAAGAGCTGCCAACACTTTATTACAAAGCCTACTATGGAGAAGCGGAACCATACCAAAAAACTAAAAATGTTCGCCTTTCCTCTCCGCACATTCTCCTTGTATACATATCCAATGTGTTTCGGCTGCAGAATGTGTCCGATGGCGTCAAGCTCACCCGCAACATCAAAACTACTACCAACTGTTTGAAATTTGAAAAGATTGGACGCTGTTTGGTAAATGCACAAAAATAACTTCTTTCTTTGTTCGTTGTTGCGATACATAAGAACCTTTCCACAATATTGTTTTAGAAGATCAAGAACAGCGTTTTGATATCTGGCATTCGTAATGATGAAACATATGGCATCATTTTTTGTGCCATCAAGGATACCAGAAATACAATTGCACTACCTTATATTTATGGAATGAGTGCCACGAAACTAGAAGCAAACAAGGTTTACGTTAGTTCTATAGGTATGCAAGCACAGTTTGTAAATTCATAAGAAACGTTATTAGTAGAGTTTCTTAGCGGATTTCAAGACTGAGACGATATTATTTACAACTGGCGCAGCCTTTCTTCTGATGATGGGTGCCATCGCCGTGTGGTGCTACATCAACAAGCAGGAACGAAATAACAAAATATATCAACTGAAGTCAACGCAAAAACAGAAAAAAAGAAGTAGCCCACACAGTCTTCCTAAAGCGTACGTTGTTGCAAGTATTTAAAATCTTTCATTAATGAGGAATTTACTTCAGATCTGACAACTGGGAAATCGAGCGCAGTAATCTCATAGTTTACGACGGAGTAAAGCTTGGATCTGGTGCTTTTGGAGCGGTCTATCTAGGCAAGATCTTAGCTTCTAATCTAATTCAATCTCAAACGTATAAGTAAAAACTGACTTCTTTTGCCAAACTCGATTTTTTCAATACTATCACCTCTTAAAAAGTATTGACTAAGTGATTTGTTTGTCAATTATCCATGCGTTGAGCTACTGCTAGCACTTTTGTAGTTCAGTCTAATTGCAACCGTGAGCTAACGTTTAACAAAAAAGAATACATAACATGTTTGTGATGAAAATACGAGAAAAACCAAATTACAAGGGCTGGAGTACCATGAAAGTGATAGCTACACATTGAGTTTAAGTACTTGAAAAACTCAGTTACCAAGAGGAGAACTCAAACTCATTAATATATTCACCCGTGCGAGGTAAGAAGCAAAACCAAAACATGTTTTTGCGTATACTGCTTTCTATCTCTTAGAATGCTAATCTTCAAAAACTTGTTATGCATCATAGGCTAATCATTGATTTGTGTAAGAGCCACTTTAATTGTTGATTTTTGTTACTTGCTAAATGAAATAATCTGGTTTAAATGGTCGTTTAGAAATTCAAAGAGTTTACGCAACTTTTGAGAAATCATCAGGAAATACCAAACTGTAAAGTATGACAAAAATATAACATGTTTTTTCCTATACGTCATAGTCTGTTTATCACTATTCTTCAGGTAGACTCATTCGCAAATCCCCGCTAAACCACAATTTCAAGTCGCTTTCGGTGAATCTGATGAAAGCGGAAAGTTGTCAGGTTTGTATCTTCAATATATTAGGTCGTAAAGAAAGTTCCTCGGCAAATGCGAAAAAAATTTCAAATGCTGTAATTTCAAGCAGATTGATTCTTTTTCAAAGTTACAAACTTCATTGCAAAGACAATTTTGTTTACAACATGTGTTTGTCTTGCTGGCTTTTCAGCACTGCGGTCCACCAGCATGCACAGAAGGGAAAAAGGTCGTCGCGAAAAGTGGCCTATTTTGTGAAGGATTATCTTAGGCACGATAAAAGCTGGAGAGCTCAAATGCTGTAGTTACAAGTTTTTCCAAAAAGCTTGAAAAATCGATTATTTTTTACCCCTAAAACTGCACCATTTTTTAAGTAATTGACTTTGGAGTCTTGTCGTTCTGCTTAGGGTGGACCAAATCTTTGATTACTGCGGACAGACATTGTTGGGGTAATGCCTTACACACCTTTTGGACCCATCGTCCAGGCGCCGCGATGCCCGCAGAAGCGACGTTAGCTGCAAAATAGTTGCAGTTAGAGGCAAGTTCGACAGCTTGTAATTTCTGAGCGCAAGTCGCAAAACTCGAGCGCAGCTGCGGATCAGAAGTTAACAGGCTTCTCAATCAGAACCCATGATTGGGACAAATTTTTTTAATTTCGCAAAAAAAATGGCCGTAGGAAGAAAAGTTCTGAAATCTTTATAGTTGGAAAGTTTTTCTTTCTTGATGTGCAGATCAAACGCGTTTTGGCATTGAAAAAAATCAAAAGACTTATTGAAAACTCTAGGCCCCCTCTATTGAACATTATAAAAAACTTGGTTCAAAGTCGGACCGAGTGCCGAAAAAATGCGTTTGAAATTGATGTTTCCAAAAGTGTCGAGACTTTCTTTACATCCTAATATAGTATTTACACTTTTTTCAAAACTAGCTAATCACTGCTCTTTCTCTCATGCTTTCGCTAATAATGATGACAGGTGGCAGTCAAAATGTTACCAGAGCCTGCCGATGATGCGTCAAGGAGCGAATTTTTGAGGGAAATTGGGTTGATGAAACTCCTCGGATATCATGAAAGGTATTTGTGAAGCTCCAGTCTTCTCCTTTAGGTTGCTAGTCAATCCCATCATCGAGTTTCATTTAGCTTGCTTTTCGTTTGCCTTGGTGACGGCTTAGAATAGAAATGAACGTAATCACTTGCACTTTGATGTATCGAGATGAGCAGTGTGATTCTTTCTGACTTTATTATATAGGTTTTTCGCTTACGTTTCCTTCATCATGTTCTAAAGGCTAATAAAGAATAAGGTGCATCAGGCCATACTTAAATTATTAATTTGGCTAATATGTAATTTTGGTCGCTTTTGCATCTTTCAAAAATCCTGCAAAGAAACTTTTGTCCAGCGTTCTTCGAAAAGAGCACCTCACTAACAAGAGAAGTTCGCATAATCGAAGTAGCATTGAAGGGAGATGTGTATCAGCGGAAAGCTCAAAACGCTGATTTCAATCGTACCTTCTGTAGGAATTTATGGGTTTTTTTTCGTACCTATAATAGGAATGTGGGCTGAATAGCAAATGACGAACTGTAGATACCAACACGGTTGAACAACACTTGAAAATGTTCAGATTATAATAAATTAGTCTTACAACGTTTATCAGGTGGTTTGCTCAAGTCGGCATACTTTTTGTGTGAAAATTATTGTGATTTTGAAATTCAAAGCTCGTAACCTTTTCAGTAGAACGCTTCACAGGTACAAAAGCTACGTCTGAGATCAGTGTTTTAAGCCTAATTTGCTGGGATACATCATCTTTCGTTCACTTCGACGAAGTGAACTTCCCTGTAAGAATGAAATAAGATGACTGCTTAATTATAGCTTCTTTGCTTAGAAAGGAAAGAAGAAAAAAAGTGCGATACATTTTCTTATTGTCCGCAAACTTGAGAAAATTTCATTTTTATCAAAGACCTTTGAAATGGCATATCAAGACTTCCATTATTTTGCTAGCAAGAGAAAACTTGTGTGTATCCGAAATCAAGTAGCTCATCTCTACATCCTTCACGACGTGAAAATGAAGCATGAAAATTCAAGGAACTGTTCAAAGAATTCAAGGAAAACTTAATATTATATCATTACTAGCTGGCTTACCCGGCTCCGCCCGGCCCTGTCCAAGCACTATGATAAAACTCCCATCCCTGTCCCTGCACAGTCTTTCCCTGTGCCCACTTCTACATACCAAATCCCTTTTCCCGCTGTGTTAGTTACCAGCATATTCACTTATCCCTGTGCGATTCCCCAGCCCCGCAGCTCAAATTTACAAAAAATCGGTAAAATCGATAAAAGTAGCGGATAATTCCAAAAACTGATATCGTATTTCGCAATCAGCATGCTCGATTACCCCCTGTGCCAACTCCCAGCCCCGTAGCTCAAACTTTGCAAAAAAACCGATAAAATCGATGAAAGTAGCGGATAATCCCGAAAACTAATATTCCCCCTCCCTCCCCCTTCCCCTGTGCCAAATCCTAGCCTAGGACACCCGCCCGACCTCGAAGTGTATGTGTGCCAAGCAGGATCAAGCGTGCTGATGCGATCCTGGACCCTCATTTACGACCCCCTCCCCTCCCCTCCCCCCCCCCCCCCACTCACCCATTTATCCCCCTTACCTCCCCTGCCCACATTCCTCGCGGTAACCTGCATAAACGAATGTCAATCTCAAAAAAACCTGCGTGAGAACTTCAGTGAGGTTTCGGAAGCAGAATTTCTAGGCCAATGGGTGTGTCCGTCATCTGTAGCACACATACACACCTTCAATAATGTCTGAGATTCTGCAAGTTTTTTGAATTTTCAGGCATACTTCAGGCCAGCAAGTTGGATTCCCGTAGGAGACACAAATTTCTGCACGGAGAAAAAATGACATTCATGAACTACAAAAAATGTTTTCGACTAAGAAGCTTACTTCCTACCTCTCTCACAGTTTTCCCCGCGAAAAAAACCGCTTGAGCGCCGTCCAGAACGATCAAAAACGTGCATGAGCACGGTAGTTTGAAAATTCGTAACTAAGGCCAGGAAAGGACTGAGAGGCTGCAAAGCATAGGTTCTGTAGTATAGCGCCCAGACTATCCATAGAAAAAGTTTCAGCCCTTGAGGAGCAGTAAGCTCGAAAAAATTTAGATGCGACTCTCGCAAATTTAGATGCGATCCTTAAAAAAACTGGGATTTTTGAGCTTAAAATTTTGTAAACCTACCAGAGAAGTTATGAAACAGCCTGCAATTTTTATGAGGGAAAGTAGGAGGATGGCCTCATATTACAGCAGAATTGCAGCCAACAAGCTTCAATAGCTCCGAAGAAATTTAGATGCGACCCAGATACGACCCCCCTTTCCTGACTTTTTGCAACCATACATAAAATCATAAGAAAATCCACAGTTGACAAAACAACACCAAATTATGCACTGATATAGCGGAGCATCTCAAAAGTGCAGATAAATCATGTGAGCCCGTGAAAAACATTACAAAAAGATTTAGAATTTTACGATGGTCATAGCTGGTAAAGACATTCGCTTTTGTCGAGTGTGTGAGACTTCAGGAAGGCTTCAGAAGCAAGATTTCTAGGGCAATCGGTACATTTAGCATTTTTATCAAATTATGTATCCTTCAAAAGTGTTTTGAGCTCTAATGTTTTTTTTGAGAATTTCTACAGATTTTTTATCTTTTTTATTCTGATTTCCACTTTTTTATAGATTTATTGTAAAGAACAAAGCTTATTGTCTGATTTTTGATTACCTTTGAAGCCTAGGGTATTTTAGCCTAACTACCTCCTCTTACGACCCCCCCCCCCCCCATTCCCCCTTAGATACCCTCTTACGACCCCCCCCCCCGTTGCGACAGTCGCATCACAAGTTTGACCCTAGTGCCAAGTTTGGTCCGAATAGGTTCAGAAATGGAATTTTCTATTTGAAACATACGTACACACATACATACATACATACATACATACATACAGAAAGACAGACATACAGACAAACAGACATTCAGCTTTATATATAAGATTATTAGATTGAACCAAAAGTTCTGTCACACCATTTTCAAAAAATCGTAACTTCTTCCTATCTTGATGATTTTGCGTGGCTGAAATTTCATTGGAAAGAGCAATCCAGCACTTTCTAGAGGAATCTTGGTTGTTATCTACTTCACTCTGAATGAGAGATAAAATTATAGAAAGGAAATCACTTCAAGTTCGGAATTTTGAGGCAAGCCCGTTGAAAAATCCAAAACTGTGCCATGAAATCCAAAACAGCCACTCAAATAATCACCGAGGGCAGGCGGTCATGTGACTTATGGGCGGGAGGGCACCGGAAAAATAGTTCGCTGATTTCTTGCGGTCCGCTTGCAGATATTTGGAAGAATTTTAGCGAAATTTTAGACGAATGCTTGAAAAACAATCGCAGTTTCCTTATAGATTAGCTGCATATTCTCGCGGACTTTCCGCGAGAATATGCAAAATTTTCGAGGGCCGCGTGGTCCTTTGTGGAGGACCGCGCAGCCTCCAGGTACCTTCCGCTAGGAGAAAGTACCTCAAACTTGAGTAATTAAACCAACGGTGACACCTCTGCCATACAGAGTCTTACCTGTGCTCGACGTAAGCCCGAAACTGCTTAAAAAGAGTCCGAGCGCCCGCTGAAGGTTCGGCCAACGTGTGCTGAAAGAGGTTATTTGACGAGCGCCCGCAGAAAATTTTGTGTTGCTGCCCGCTGGCAGAACATTAGACAGTAAAGGAAGTACCGCTCGCTGAAGGTTTGGCCACGCCCCAAAATTATGCTGACCGCTTGCAGAAAAGCGCGAGTTTGCGGACCGCCTGCCCCCGGCGATTATCTGAGCAGTGTCCTAGATATTTGAACCCCTCTTTCTAGTCGTGCAAGATTCGCGCGGATCGAGCTTTTTTTCGAAAGTTTTGATTTTGATAAAAATGCCAAAAAACCAGTTTCTCAAGAAAATTGATTTTTTGATGTTTTTTCTCGAGAATCATAACTTTCTTCAAAGAGCTTCATCAGTGCGGATTTTGCTCAGCCAGAAAGAGGGGTTAAATTGTCTAGGATACTTGCTGTTTGGATTTTGCGGAATAGTTTTCGATTTTTTAACGGGCTTGCTTCAAAATTTCTGACCTGAAGTGATTTTCTTTCTCCAATTTCATCTCTGCATTCAGAGGAGTAGATAACAACCAAGGTGCTATTAAAAAGCGCATGGATTGCTCTTTCCAATAAAATTGTAGCCGCAAAATCATTGCAATAGGAAGAAGTTGCGATTTTCTGAAAATGGTGCGACAGAACTTTCGGTTCAACCTAATAATAGTAATAATATTGTTATATAGCCCGCAAACATTCTTTACAACCTAATACCTCCAAAAATTTTTGCAGTTCTCTCTCATTCCGTCACTCTTTGCTACAAGTGTGCAAAGTGAGTGAGACTGGAGGAGCATGAATGCGAAAGCCAGTGATTTTTTTAGACAGATACCTCGTCATTTTCTAATCTTCAGGCTAGTCAACATGCTGGCATGTATCACAGAATCTGCGCCGCTTTGCCTTGTCGCCGAGCTTTGTAACTACGGTGATTTACTGAATTTTCTTCGAATACGTTGCAAGTACATGATCAAAGTATGTAATCATTATTCACTTGCTGTGACACTTTTTTCATAATGAGGCTACAGCTCAACGCAGAAGGAATAGACTACAGCGATCTACCTGTGGATGGTAACTACAACATAGAAATGGTGGTAACCTTGAAGCAGTTGCTGATGTTCGCGCTGCAAATTTCTTATGGTCTTGTAAGTTTACCAAAAACATTTTTTGCTTGCTTCATATTCTTCTTTAGGAGTACCTATTTAGCAAGGGATTTGTTCATCGCGACATTGCAGCTAGGAATATACTTGTGAATGCGAAGGCCTCCTGCAAAATTGGAGACTTTGGACTTTGTCAGAATTTGTATTCAAATACTTTGCTCAACGAAAACAAGGTTTGTCAAATGGTAATTCTAAAAATGCCAAGATTACATGATGCATTCAGGGTTGCCGTTTACCGCTGAGGTGGATGTCACCGGAGGCAATACGACGTTATGAGTTCTCACCACAAAGCGACATGTAAACATAAGTCATCCTTATTTTATTCAGCATGTCTTAATACGGTACCTCCGTAAAGGGCTCATTTAGCCCAACACAAAAGTAGTTTCGTATTTCTGACCGGGCGCCATAGGGTTGACAGACTGCGCTGCGTACGCGGCGTACGCGACGTGCGCAGCCTATGCATACGTGCACAAAGATACGAGGCGTACACAGCGTACTCCGCAGTCTGGCCCAACCCACAAACGATCTTGATCGCATTCCACGTAACTTTTTATCCCCCTTAAAGACAGTGTCCAAACAAAAACTCGATTTTTATCGTCTACCTGGAGCTATCCACAAGACTGAGTCCGAAAATCACGTTAAAAAGCTTTCCAACGGCGAAAACAGATGCTTAAGCCTTACAATTTGAAACTGGGCTAATGGAAGAGTTCTCGGATCAAGTTGGCGATTGAAGATGAGATGTATATCAATAGACGCGTTCTTAAACGCTGAATCCAAATCTGCTTTCCTTTTTTGCGGAATAAGTTTCCGAAAGAAGTTGGGAGCGTTTGTGTTGTAGAGCCGTCCCTTATTGGAACTTGCTCACTCACTATAGGTTAGGTCTCTGTGGTTGCGGCGTACCCGCCGCACTTTGATATATTTGTGTGTGCTGTTCTCTAGTTATTCCTAGTGAACCCGCGGCATATACGCCAATGTGTATAGGGGGAACCTTTGTGTTTTTCTAATAAATCGTCAACGACTCAACGCGTTCTACTACAACTGGCGATTAGGATCAAGGTTAAGAAGACCTCCACCGACCAAGGACCAGAAGAAGCTCCACCGACCGAGGACCAGCAGCCCGACCAAGGACCAGCAGCCCTCCAATCAAGGACAAGAAGAAGCGCTGCAGCTCAGCCAAGCCGGGAGGAAGCTGTTACCGGTCGAGGACAGCCAGACAAGTAAGCGCTGCTAGGAATTCGATTTAGCAGAAGAACTCGTCGACTCCGAAGAGTTTTACCATGCCGAAAGCCAGTGAAGAGCGGCATGGCCATGACTCTTTGGAGAAGGTCCTATCGGTCATGGTCGATCAAATGCGAATTCAGCAGGAACAAATGCAAATGCAGGCGCAAGCTCTACAGGAGCAAATGCAAGTACATTTGCAACTTCAACAGGAGCAGCAGACGCAATTGCAAGCTCAGCAGGAGCAGATGAAGGAGCTGATCATCACCTTAGCCAGTAAGCAGGGAGCCGTCCAGGATGCCAGCAAAGATCAATACGATCAGCTGAGCAAGGAAGTGCAACGATTTGTCTCGGACGAGGAGACAGGTAACACGTTTGCATACTGGTACGGCAGGTATGGACCTATCATTCGCGACGCCCAGCTGCCGGATCACAAGAAGCGCGACTTAATCCTCATGAAGCTGGACGAAGAAGCCTACCGGAAGTATGCGGATGAGGTCTTACCTGCGCAACCGCACGACTTGGACTTCGACACCACCATCGCGAATCTTCAGAAGCTATTCGCCTCTAAGAAGACTCCAAAGGAGAAGGAATGGGCAATAAATCTATGGAGAAGCAGTTCAACCGCCGTCACGGAGCACGAAAAAGATCGTACCAGCCACACGAAGCCGTGTGGGTACGTGATTTTCGCCCTGGATGTGAAAAATGGATTCCAGCACGAGTGAAGAAACGATATGGAGAAGCGCTATATGGCGTGCTTACGGAAGACGGTCAGCTATGGAGACGACATGCGAACCAGATGCGCCGCGCAGCAAGTATGGATCGATATCATGGCTCAAGAGAGTCCATCCCCGACGAATGCCGACGTGACAATGGTTTCGATGCTGCTGAACACCAAGCCACCTCGTCTACTTCACCGACATCAACCAGACCAAGTCGCCATCGTCGCCCACCAGAATGTCTACAAGTAGATCCTTATTATAAGATGTACCGTTGTTCATCTTAGGAGGGAGGTGTTGTAGAGCCGTCCCTGATATTGGAACTTGCTCACTATTGATAGCTAATGCTGAGGCGGCCTATGTGGCTGCGGCGTACCCGCTGCACCTTGCTGTATTTACGTGTTGTTATTGCATTGATCCTAGTGAACCCGCGGCATATACGCCTATGTGTATAAGGGGAATCTTTGTGTTTTTCTAATAAATTGTCAACGGCTCAACGCGTTCCACAACAGTTTGAATGTCCAAACTTGTCAAAGTTTAGATGGCCTGAAATTGGCAAAAATCTATAAATACACTGGATGGACAATCACTTTTGTATCAAGCATATTGTTTGCAAGGACGAAACAAAGCCGGTGAAAATCGCATAAATATTGTTTTGGAGCTTTTCCCCAACTTTAAGCCACTCAATGCTTGGCAAATTTTGACTCTTAAATGCTCATAACTTTCTTCGGAAGGTTGCTCCGCAAAAAAGGAAAGCGGATTTGGAATCAGCGTCCAAGGGCGCGTCTACTGATACACATCTCATCCTCAATCGCCGACTAATTTTGGTATCCTTTCCTTATAAGACGCAGAGTCGCTGCGGGACTCTATGGCTTTGACTGCGGGACGGCAGTACCCTGCCGCAAGCAGGAAGAAATCAGGGGTGGTATTTATCAGTCTTCTGCTCGCTGTTCGGCCCGTTTTATTGTTATACATGACCCGGACGAGGCGAGAGCGGTTGAAAAGTTATTTCTGCGAGGCTGGTTAGCATGGCCTGAACGGACAGCAGAGCCCGATCTGTCTAGATCGGCATGCCCGATGGGCAAACTTGCCAGATCGGACCCTTGAACCCACGCATTGTCCTAGGGAGATCCAGACAGTATATCTGCGATGGGATCTCGATAATCAATGTGGTTCAATCAGCCTTCCATTTCATACCATTTAATATGTACTGTTCTCATTGAGCCAAAAACTAAGACCTTCTGAAATATTTCTGCATTTATAACTTGTCCCACTGCTATGAATTGTCCTACAATACAGAATATTCAACGATTTGCTGATATTCAAAACGAACTGCCGCTTCTAGCACTCTCTAAAAAGAAAAAACAATGAAAAACGATGTTTTCATGTGTTGCGACGTTCACGCCGGCGTTTTTGATATGCCTCCGCTCGCACTGCTGGCGGGCTTCCTTTCCACAGTAGGTTCCCGAACAGGCATGAGGATGTACGGAGATTGATAAATATCGCCGACGGGTTAGGCTCCCTCCAGGCTTCCCAACTTGACCGAATTTCTTGCTTCTGCTCAAACTCAAACAATCGCCGTAGGCAGGCGGGCGCTGGTCAGCGAGTTTTTGAGAGACCCGCCTGTCAATTTTTTTTCCGCTCTTATCTTTTGCAGGTATATTGCTGAATCTCTGAGGAATTGAGAACTCAACAACCGGTTTCCCAAAAAGTCCTGATTGCTTTCCGAAAAATCCGCGAGCGGGGTGTGAGAAATTAGCCATTTATGTTTCCGGTGCCCGCTTCTCCCGGCGTTTGTCTGAGATGATATGACCTCGCATTTGTCCGATGGCGTGTTCGATGCAGAGGTGCGATAGTTGGAGCAGAGTTTCCGCCTACCCTCACTTTTGAGCTGGGAAAGGGCGACCACCTTCACTTTTGGGTTTTGGATTTTTTTTGCTGAAGCTAAAAGGAAAATATAAGCAAAACGAACGCAAAAGAAAGTATTGAGAGCATTTCTATGCAGTTCACTTTTAGGAACTTGCTGTCGCCTACTGCGAGCACTTGAAGGCCATCACCAATATGGACGCATCTGCGCCTCAGCACTCTCTAAGATTTTGAAGAGCAAAGCTTCATGATGACTTCGGATAATTAAAGAGCTCTTACCCAACGTCCTCTTTAGGGCCAATAACTGTGACCCAGGGGTTCTCTTTAGGGTCACAAATACGATGAGTACAGCGGCATAATTATCCTACTCTATATAAAGCGCGAGCACCCCCATATTATTTAGCGCGTTTGTATGTCGGCGTAAATAAGGTGTATTTCGGATAAAGAGAACGATCAAGCAGTGATCCTCCTTGGCGTTTGCCAGAACTGCGTAAACAACTGATTGCTCCAAAGAGTTGAAAATTTAAGACAGCATGGTGGCTGTAGGTACAGAAATACAATCTAGAATACATGTCGACTGATCAATCTCTCTTTAGATTACTCCAGTTAGGCAACCAAACCACCAGCACTCACTAACTCATTTGTTAGAATCTTCTGCCGATTTGCAGTTTTTTTCCAATTGTTCTGGCGTATCAACCCAAGTCTTAATTTCGCATTCAAATAAGATCTAGCGAAGGTATGCGTCGCTAAAGTTTCGAGTGCAATAGTCAATGTAACCTGGCTTCATTAACAAATTTTATGCAGAAAAGCGATTCATTGACTGAAGTAAACGCAGGACCAACCTTTCTTGATCTCTCTGTCAACTGTATCATTCTGAAATTTCCTCGGCAAATTGCTGTTGCATACACCATACACCATCTGTTGAGTATTAATCCATCATATGTTTCAAACAAAGTGCATCGGTCAATAGCCATGTCATATGTGTCCAAATGCATATAAAAGCTAGATGAACACTGTCTCAGTAATTCCCCCCCCCCCCCTTCACCAAGATATTACAGTGTCTCACAATCTGCGAAACAATCTTTCACAACTCACAGACCGATTTTGTTGATAACATGAAGCATTTTCATACCAAATCACTGCCATTACGTTTCAAGAATCATGTACATATCGATAAAAGTGCCAATCTATCAATCCAATTTCTCATTTCCTTTCGCCTGGAGTATAACTGTTGTGGCTTGAGAACGGCTTGAATGATTCCTGAAAAGTACCATACAGTTACAGTTATATATGTGTTTACATCAACAATTCATTATCACTAACATATCATTCCTCAACACCTCCCTCCTGACAAAACTATTTTGTGTCTTCTTCTTCATTACATGTCTACCATGATCTTTCTTGAATGATTCTCGGAGTCTGATGACATAGTTGGGTTGCGATCTGATGGCGGTATATCTGTAACACGATGTTGGTTTCTTCGGCTTCTCAGCT